TTTACAAAAATTGTTATAACAAAAAACTAAAATCTTTTTAAGTTTTTTAAACAATTTAGAAAAGCAACTTTAAAAATTATAAACTTTTAACAACAATGTATATTAATTTGAATTTATCTTTTTGTTTTTAGAATTATTTATTTAAATTTTCAAATATTTAATAACCATATTAAATTAATTTAACTCATATTTAAATAACTTAACTTTGTTTTAGATTTAAAGTGTTGATATTTAATTCATGATTATATAAATTTAAGATTCATATATTAAAAATTCATCAAGTTAATTAAGTATTTCGATAAAGTAAATCAAATTTAATTTTATTTATTTCTTAACTAGAATAATCAAGGCTAGCAGTCTAAATATTTCGGTTAACATAAATCTTACGGATTTTTAAGTTTCACTCTATATTCCACTTTTTATATATTTTATTGTTTAATTTAATATATTTATTAAAATAAGTAGCTTACTTTTTAACTGTGACTTTTAATTTCATGTAATTTATTTACAATTTAAAATTATGAATATAACTTATTTTATGATGTAATTTCACTCAATTCTTCCTTTTTTTCAAAGCCTTCCCTTCCATTCTTCTCCAAACTCCCAAACAAACCTTAAATGTAGTTGGTTTATGTGCACAAGCTTTTCTTTATGATATATGAGAAAAACAATGTAATTCATGAAAGAAATTAATTGCCAGTGATGCTTAAGGTATTTGACAATGTTTTAGGGTTATCTCACACAGAATTGAGAAACACTTAGTATTTAAGTTTGTCTTTTTTTTTGGATTGGAGATATTTTTTGCATTTTATGAATAAGATATATATATAAATTTATATCTTGCCAAATAACCATCACTCTACAATTCTAATTAAAAACTAAATTAAATTTATAATAAATTTAATTTTTCCTCACTTTTTACCGGTTGTTTCTAACCATATAGATATAAGTGTGTTTTTATGCAATTATTTCTTCCCACTAGGACTCATTCCTACCTTCAGTTAGTGATTAGAAACCTCATCAACCACATATAGTAAATGGATGAGTGAGTAACCATAAACATATCAAACCTAATTAGGCGGCCTCCACCATATTAAACAGCTTATTCCTCATTTCAGATGGCTTCTTGGCTCATTTTGTGTGGCATGTCATCTCATAATGTATGCTCATCCATAGTGAAGGAAATTTTCTTATAACGTATATTTATGGACTTTCCTTTCTAAAGTCCAATAAAATTATCCCAATACACAGTCCCTCAAGCACGGAGTCTGAGAAAAGACAAAGTCATTTAACCTAAGAATTTTAGGCTTTCATGTTCGGATCGGACTTATAAGAGATCCTCAGGCAAAGCCTAGAACGAGTTCTTCAAATAGAGTTTGGGGTGAGTCCTCTAAGAAGAGCTTGGAGCGAGTCCTTCAAATAGATAACCTTACTATAAGGGGAGTGATCGATCAAGATGTGAATAAGTGTCAAGAGAGTGCGATAGTGAAGAGTCTATGTCTCGCCTGTTTTTTGAGTGCCCGATTTTTGCAGGTGTTTGGAGCTGTAGTCATCCATGGCTTAGAGTGTCCACTGCTATGCATATTGATAGCTGCAGATAATAGTTGTGGATCTGTTGTTGGGTTTATGTGCAGAGTCTGTGGGGTTTAGAAATGGTGGAGGTGAATCTCGGAAGATTTTTGGTCGTACTGTTCTTGGGTTCACCTTTAAAGAGGTGTTTGTTTTGGTTGTTGGCAGTAGTCTTATCTGTTTGTGTTGCTTGTGATGCGATCTTGTCATGTTCTGAGTCTTTCGTAGCATGTCCAAAGTAGGCCTATCTCAGTGGCTGTTTCAGTTTGTGTTTTTGGTTGCGGAGGTTGTTAAAGTTCCTTTAATTAAAAGTGTTTTAGTAAGTTGGAATTTTTCCATATAGCAGAATTGTTGTGAATTCGGTCAACGAGGTTTTGCTACATTTGACTGGTAATCTATTGTTGTCTGGTCTTAGTTCGGGTGGTTAAGTCTCTTGTAGTTTTTTGGCTTTGCAGTTCGTTAGCAGGAAGGTTCTAGCTTATTTTTGGGGCGGTTTTTTTACTTGGAGCTATTATGGTTTTTTATCAGAATCGTTATTGTTCTGGATTTTTTTGTTCAGCAGCTTACATAGGTTGGTGTTCTCGTTGTGGTTGTGTTGTGCTGTGTCGGCGAGTTGTAGTGCTTAACAGTAGATAATGTTATACTCCCTTCGTCCCATAATGAGTGACCCAGTTAACTTTTCATGCAGATTAAGAAAATTGAATAAATGAATGAGAGAAAGTGATATTTTTACCAAAGTACCCATATCATGTATTGGAAATGATAAAAAATAATATTAATTAAAGGATAAAATTGGAAAAAATGCATAGAAAATTGAAATGGGTCATACATTTTGCGACACTCATATATTCCAAATAAGTCATTCATTGTAGGATGGAGGGAGTAGGTGGTATTGGTTTATTTGTTTCCCTGTTTGTATATGGTTTTGTGGCCTTGATTAGGTTTTTTTGTTGTAATTGGTGTAATTTGGGTGTACGTATGTAGCTTGTTGGTCCAGTTTTTTGAAGGATCTTGCTTTTGTATTCTCTTTTTGGCATTCTTGATGCCTTAGTTTTAATGCTATTATACCCTTCTTTTTGTTTTTTTAAAGTTCCCTTTGTTGTCGTCTCCCACTATATATGGGCCTTGATTGAGTTCAAATTTTGGGTTGAGTATATATAATATTCAATTTTAATACGTTTATAAAATGAGAAGATTTTACCCCATACCCCTGCACTTATACCCGTATCCCTACAATTTTAAAAAAAAAATATCAATTTTATCCCTATATATTTTTTATTTATTTATTTTTTCACTTTTTACCGTGTTAGATTTTTTAGGCTTCCGAGGAATTCACCACACGACCTATCGGAACACTTTCAAAATGACTTTCAGTACGCTTTTTTTCTCAATCCGAAAGACTTTGGCAAAGAGTTCCAATTCACACAAATTATGTACCGGAAGACTTTGTGAAAGACTTCCGGTTTGAGAATTTTCATGGGTGTTTACTGGAAAACTTATAAAAAGAGTTCTGGTACTTGTGAAAAGTGTACCGGAACATTTTTTACAAGTCTTCCGGTTTGTGTGTTTTGGCTACCGGAACTCTTTCTCTGAGTCTTCCGGTTTGCATTGTCCATTTTTTTTTATAATTATTTTTGAATTTTTTTAAAATTCTTTTTTTATGCAGTTTCAGAAGTTCCTTTACAAATATGCGATAAAGATCAGATATGCATAGATATGTCTGATGTTTTTTCAACTACTCAAAGATTTGGTACATGAGAAGAGGTAATAAGATGGATTAAAGAGATCGGAATCCGAAATAAAGTTACAGTCATAATCACTCATTCAGATATTGAAACAGGCAAGAGAGGAAGCAGTAACAAATCAATATTTGGATGTGATAAAGGAGGAAAACACAAAGATATTGATAGTGGAACCCAGAGTGTGATGAAAAAATGTGGATGTCCATTTAGAATCAGATAAATTCCAGCGACTGATGGATCTGGATAGAAGATCGATGTAAAATGTGGAGTTCATAACCATGATTTACCTGATAGATTAGAAGGTCACGCATTTGTTGGTAGGTTGACAGCGGATCAGAAGCAACATGTTGTTAATTTGACAAAGAGAAAGGTTCCACCTAGACATATACTGCTTTCATTGCAAGAGCAAGATCCAGATAATATTACTCGGATCACGCAAATATACAAGCAAAAGAGTATGATAGAAAAAATATAAGAGATCCTAGAAGTGAGATACAACATTTGTTTAAGCTTATTGGGGAAGCAGGTTATGTTTATTGGAGTAGAAAAAGAGATGACTATGAAGTTATTAGAGATATCTTTTGGGCTCATCCAGATTTAGTTAAGTTGTTGAATATTTTTCCTATTGTGCTAGTTATGGACAACACTTACAAGACAAACAAATATAGGCAACCTCTGTTTGAAATTCTTGGCATGACATCAACCGAGTTGACTTTTGCTGTCGCATTTTCCTATATTGAGTCTGAGCAGACTGAGACTTTTTGTTGGGTGCTAGATAAACTTAAACAATTGTTTGTGAAGAAAGAGTTGTGTCCACAAGTGATTTTGACAGATAGAGATCTTGCTTTGATGAAAGCCATTGAAATTGTGTTTCCAAGGTCGATCAACATGCTATGTCGATTTCATATTAACAAGAATGTTGGTGCAAAATGGAAACAATATGTGACTAGTGACATGCAAAAGAAAATTGACGAATTATGGATGGATGTTGTATGGGCTAGTCATGAGGTTGAGTATGATCAAAGGTTGAACCAACTTGTGCAGGCGTGTGTTGATTGTAATGAATTTATTGATTATGTGAAGGACACATGGTTGACACCACATAGACAAAGATTTGTTAGAGAATAGATTAATCGAGTGCTACATTTGGGTAACACCACGACTAATCGGTATGTATTTATTTTTAGTATTTATAAATTGTATATATATTTTTTTTTGAATTTTTTTAAAATATTTTTAATATGTATTAATTTTAGGGTTGAGTTTGCTCATTGGAAGTTAAAAAAAATGTTGGGGAACAATATTGGTGACATGGTCAAATGTTGGGAGGCTATGAATGACAACTTAAAGTTACAATTGGGTAATATTAGAGCTTCTTTTCAAAAGAGTTTTTATGAAGTTGAGCACGCCCACGTAAGTCCATTTTACAATAATTTACGTGGTTCAGTGTCTCGAGATGCATGGAGACACATTGCTGAAGAGTTAAAACGAGTTGATTATGTTGGAAATAACAAGGAAATATGTCGTTGTACTCTTAGAACAACCTACAGATTACCTTGTGCTTGTGAGTTGACAGGATATAGAATTAATGGTATACCGATACCAGTAGATGTTGTGCATGTTCATTAGAGAAAACTAAGTATGAAAGTTAAGTTGGACGAAGACATAGATGATGGACCAAAGGTGGATATGAGTAGTGTAATAGATGAGTTATGGAAAAGGTTTAAGTCACTTGATGTTATTGGGAAAAGGGCATTAAAAAGTAGAATTTTTGAACTTGCCTTCCCTACAATGACTTCTATGTGTCCACCAGCTGAGAAAGTAAAAACTAAAGAGGGAGTCAAGAAGAAAGACAAAAAACCAGTAGGATCAGATGTTTATATAGACCATTCGTATCACGAGTCTGTTGATCAAGCATCTCAATCCTCAGAGATGCAATCTCAACCATCACAAACTTCGAAGAAGTTGAAATTATCATAGTTTTCACAAAAGAAATCTCAACCATCACAAGCTTCGAAGAAGTTGAAATTATCACAATCTTCACAGTCATCTAAGCAGTTCATCCTTCAGTTCCCTAATCACATTCGGTCATTATTGGTGATGTAGTTAGTGTTGTATCATATGGTAATTGTGGATTTAGAGTCATTGCTTCATTGCATGGATATGGTGAAGATGGTTGGCCAATGGTTCGTCGAGACTTGGGGTTGGAAATAATACATAATGAAAGATCAAGTTTGTATGCCAATTTATTTACTGATCAGTTAGCAGTGGTGAGAGAATCTTTGATGATAGAGGAATTTGATCCTCAACCACCACATAAATGGTTAACTCTACCAGATATGGGTTACATGATAGTGAATCGTTATAATGTTGTACTTGTCTGTTTAGGAATTGAATGCTGGACTTTCTTCCCTATGGTAACTTCATTTTCACCGAATGTAGCAATTTACTGCATTGGTTTTGTAAACAAAAATAATTGGGTTTAGGTACTTAGTTGTTTTTAGATAATGCGATTAACCCTAAGTCTTTTTCGTTACTTTTACTTACTATTTTGATTATTTTTTTTATTTAGGTAAACATGAAAGAAGAGTTTCCATTGCCACCAGTGATAGTAGATTGGAAGAAGTTTCGTTCTCCAGCAGCAACATCTTGGATGCTAGGACTTGCAGAACGTCTACAACATTGTCAACAACTTACGCCTATATTACCAACACATTATAAACTATAAATTATTTTACTCATTTTTAATTTCAAAACATGAATAATGAATTATTTTACTCATTTTTAATTTCAAAACATGAATCGTGAATTTTGTTATTCATTTTTAATTTCAAAACATGAATCGTGAATTATGTTATTCGTTTTTTATTTCAAGCTACAAGTTAACACATAAACATAAACCAACTAGGTCAAATGAGTCTAAAAGTTAACACATAAACATAAAACAATTAGGTCAAATGAGTCTAAAAGTTAACATATAATCATAAATATAAATATAAGTCACTGTGATCGAGCAATATGTAAAGCTTCGAACAAATCCGCAAATTATGGGTCATCATCTTCGGCACCAGCCTGCTGAAGATAACGATGAATCAACAAAGACACGCGAGCCTAGCTAGGATCATATGGTCCTGCTACATATACAAGAACTGGCATCTTTATTGGCGCATCATGATAGGATGGCGTTAACAGACGAGGATGCGAGACACGATAGTACCGCTCAAGATATCCATCATCTGTCTCATATGCGGTGGTGGTCAGTGCTGTCGGACGAATCACATTCTGAACGCTCTGATGGTAACTAATCCAGTCAACATCAATATCACCAGCCATCGTATGATCAAGAGGTGGATGTGGAACATACTGCCGGTATCCAAACTGACGCATACATCTGTCTGGCAAGTATGGAACAATAGTGTCACCCCACCTCAGACACCCCCTATTTAGACATAGCTCATCAAACTGACACCATACTCTATGATTCTCGAATGGGCGCCATATGACATCGGCAGGTGTCAACTCGTCCATAATAGGTTGCAAGTCCACCTTCAAGGCACCTTGCCTATAGGACCATCTCATCGCTTGAGGGAGACCCACATTATTAGCTGGTATCCAGTTCTATCCTTTTTTCCAAGTGTTGGAAAATACTCGTAAATCCAACATTGTTACAAAATTAATATGGTTACTAAATTTAAAATAATTAATTATAACATAATAAACTAGATAAATAAAATTAATATACTAGATAAAATTTATTAAAACAAAATATACTAAATTAAAATAAATACCTATAGGAGAGTCGGATAACCACCAAGCTGCTTACAACTGAACATGGAAGCATCTCCGAGATATCTGTAAAGAGTAACCAACGCAGCTGCTCCCCAATTGTATCCTGATAAGCCATCCAAGTCTATAAATAGTGAGAGGTATCGTGCCTCGACAAGCGTAAACGTCTTGTCCGCAAAAATAGTGGAACCCACTAACATCAGCAAATAAGCTCTAGTGGCATAATGCCATCTAGATGCAGCTCTATGCTCTACGAACCGATCATATAACCACTCCAGCTTATAGTAGGAACCCCTGCAGTCACGGACTTGTTATTGTTCCACTCTCCGTGACACTCCTAAATAATCAACAACCCACTCAACAACAAGCGCTTCACTGATATCTTGAGGGCTCCAGAAGACTCCCATGGTGGGCAAGTGAAGCAGGCAAGATACCTCATCTAGAGTAATCTTCATCTCACCAAACGACATGTGAAATGAAGATGTCTCTAGATGCCATCTCTCTGCAAATGCAGAAACTAGGTTCGTGTCTATCTTTGTTAAACTGGTTCTCTGGAGTGAAGCTAGACCAGACCTAGATATCCAGCCCTCCATCTCTCTAGGTAGCTGTAGTGGAACCCTCTGAATCAACTTCAACCTATGTGTCGCGGTGAAAATCGGATACCAAACTATTGATTAGTTTGAATCTTTAATTCATTTTGCAACCGAACTTTGATTTGTCCAAAGGAAGGGATAAAGATCGAAATTCCCACGATCCAGTGCAAATGCAAGGTTTAGAGAGTTATAGGTTCGGGGGTTGGTTAAACTTAGGGAAGGTACTAACATCCTAAGTTTCTGTAGTACTCTACAGGAACCTCTTGTTTTATGTTTGTTTATTGCTAAGGATTTGTCTTCTTAAAGGATTAGAGACCCTAGTGGTTTATTTCTAAGTATACTCGATAAGATGTCGCATCTTATGCCTACATATCCTTACGGGAGTGGAATCAGAGTACTTGTAGTTCCCCTAAAGGGTTAGAGGAGCTCTTTGACTGTGGTCAAAGTTCCTACGGGTTTAGGGTAGTTGTTTTGATTGGGTTTAGGAGAAGAGATGAGTCTTCATGTTAAGGGAGATGTAACCACCACAAGTGTAAAGGGGGTTGTAGGAAAATAGTCTTTGCATCGTCTTAAGAAAAGGGCTTAAGTACTCGGATTGTTTGACGAGTATGCCTTTATCACTCTTAAGGCAAAGTTCCTACATGTTTGATTGTATTATTGTGGGGACAAATATGCAACAACTTGTTGCACCCCAAAATTTGCCTAACCTTTTTATACCTAGCTTATGTTTCATTACATTTAACATAACATTAGCATATGCATTGCATTGACATGTATGTGGGAGGTAAAGGGCTATCATAGAGTACAAGGCTATTCAAGAGTCTTCATTCAAGTATTCAAGGATTGATATCCTCATCAAAGAAGTCAAAGAGATCCCCAGAGAAGGGGGTTAGCACATTTGAGCATGTCTCCTAACTTGAAGGGTATAGGAGATCCTCAGATGATTCTGAATTAATGGAAATTGACCTAGAGTTTTGAGAGATCTCATGGGATGTCTTTAGAGTCATTATGTTGCTTAGACAACTCATTATGCAAGGTGCAAGAAGCCATAAGTAAGATTGGTACAACTAGGGTTTTCATCTGGTCACCCCTAAGTCAACAGTGGAATTTGAATAAGGTTGGGACCTAATTTCAAGGCCATGTGATCATGTATTGATGTATTGAGGTTCCCAAGAGATGATTCTAAGGTCAACTCATCATGAATCAAGAGTGTGAGAAGTTATTGAGCTAGGGTTTCTAAGCTTGACAGTGTAAAATCCCCTATCTTGATGCCCAACTTCAAGACCACATAGCTCAAGATGTGATCCTCATCCCATCTTGAAATCCATATGAATGTTGTAGAGCATGATCATAGCTTTCTTTTGAGTACTATAAGTCCTTGATAGGATTTATAGAACTCAAGTTATAAGCCAGACAAGTTATAGGTCATCAGATGAATGTGATTTTGGTGCTTGACAGTCAACCAACTTCCATGCCATTTGTGACTTAGAAAGAGGTCTCACCTGTCCTTGGCTCAAACATGATTGTTGTTCCCTATCTTCTTATCTTTCCAAAAAGTCCTAGAAGTCCATGATTGGATTTGTAGAACTCAAGATACATTGCTTGCAAGGCAGGGGTATTTTGGGAAAGTTGTGATTATAGATCATTTTGGATGATAGACCCATTTTACCATCTTACATGCCTCAAATGGAGATTTGTTCAACTTGAAAGTTGTTCAAAATGATATTATTTGTCCAACCAAACATTAAGTTGTTGTTAGGTTGGCTTGGAATGAGAAATTGTTGAAGAAAGTTTCATGAATGAACCTTTGAAAGTAGTAAAATGAAGAAAATTCAAAATAATTCATTTTGGCTCAAAATATTGCAAGTTTATGCATATTTTGAGTACACTTGATATTGTGAATAGATTGGCATTCTTAGAATTTCAAATTGAGTCCCATTTCATGGCCACCTCGCCGAAGAAGACAATTGGAGCTAGGGCTCCGACGTCTGGTTCAAACTCAGGTGATCTGATGTGTCATTGTTTGACCTCTTGACCAAGCGTGATGAACGTCCCAGATGCGTTTGACCTGCGTGCGTGAAGATTGACTTCCACTTCAATTAATGATACGCACCATTTTGTTTTGGCTGAGCGTATTGGGCTTCAGATGCTAATCACACCCCCTTGGTTGATCAACCCATTGGTTTCAACGTATCTTTTTTATATTTGCACCATTTTGCTTTTATTTGCTTTTACTTTATTTCTTTTTATTTCTGTTTCGTTTTAATTAATTAAAAATATTTCCAATCATGATAAAATTCGACCAAAATTTTTTTCTAACACTTCAATGTGTTATTTAATTTTCCATATTTTTAATTTCATTTTCCATTTATTTGTCATTTTAATTTGAATTTAATGATTGGAAGTGTTTTTAAGTTGTTTTTATTTGTTCTTATTTGTTCTTGCTTGATGTTTGGACCAATTTGAAACCACCAATGAGTGAGGCTTCCTCCTCATTTTGATGATGAGTTGAAGTGCCTTTGAGGCTAGTTTTGGTCACGGTTTAACTTATTTTTGGTTGACTTTCATGTGCACTTGTTTGACCCTCGATAACCCTCCTCAAAATGGAGCACCCTAGTGGATCAATTCCTTTGGTGATTCTTTGATTGGACTTTGATTGCGTTGCTTTGGCCTCTGGTTGCCAACATCTTTGAGAGCTTTGTGTATTTTATTTGGAGATGTTTGAACCATTTCACTATTTTTGGTGTACCTTGCAAGTCAAGTGCCCCTAATGATGGTTCACACATACTAGTTGACCTAGTTCTTGTGGGAAATGACCCTTGTGGATCCCATATGCTTCCAACACATCTTGATTCAAATTCCTAACATATTGAAGTGGATGGTTGCAAATTTATAGTTCATACATTTGCTTGGTCCATGTTGTAAGTTGCATCTTTTTAAGTATTTCCATTTGATGTTGAATGTTAAAAGTGTTTAAAACTTAGGTTCTTTACTTTGCCTTATTATGCAACTTGTCTTAGTTCTTTTACTTTTTTCATTTGTGCATCCTCTTCTCTTATTCTCATTTCTGTCCTAGGACTTGGGGACTCATTCAAGTTGATTTGGTGCTTTTGATTTACACTTTGAGTTTGACTTGAATGAGATGCCACTTTGAGAATTTCTTTTTGTGTTTTCTTTTGCATGATCATTGTAATGCTTATGGTTGAGTTTCTCCTTTGTGTTGCTTGCTGCCCAAGCATATCCTCCCATCCTCATCTTGATCATGTCTTCTCCTTTTTCTTTCTTGAATTGCCTTTGGGCTTGGTGATTGATGCACAAGTGGTTGTAGGAGTTTTATTTCTCCCATTTC